CTTGCATTTGTTGGTTTGTTTGTTTGTAATTAAGTACAAAGCTACACAATGGGCTATCTGTGGTCTATCCACCACGGGTATCGAAACCCGGTTTCCAGGGTTGTAAGTCCCCAGATTTCCGCTGTGTCACTGGGGGGGGGGGGCTCAAGATTTGGATTATGAAGTAAATTTTTAATACTGCTCAATTGAAAAGAGTGCTTAGCTGCTGTAGTTTTGAAATCATTAATTGATGGACTGGTAATCCAGCAAAAAATGTTATACCGGATCCAATTTACTTTAACACTCGCTACACAAACAATCGGTATGTCCTAAATATAAAGATACAAGTTGGTGATCTGTATATATATGTTTAGTAACTTCCCGCGAAATGTCAAAGAAAAATAGTTGATTTACAATGAACACCCGAAAAAAAATATAAAAATGATTTTGCTTGTAAAACAACTGACGTACATCGCTAAAATGTATTATTTTGATTGCAGAGCACGTGAACACTTGATTTACTATCTAATCGGTGCTGACGGATGTTTGAGAAACTCCGGCAGAAACCAGTTTACAAAAATACTAAAGAGTCTTACCCACCGCTTAATATTTATTGCTACAATCTCAGTACGCGTGTTGTGCAGAGTTGAGTAGTCTTGGATTGTCCTTGAGCATCGTGATGGCTGTCAATGGTTTGTAACGATAATCTGTTTTATCCTTTCCAGTTATTTAACAACAATTGATCATTATTGTTTTCTTTAATTAACTGTATGTTACATCAACAGTTCTAGGAAACTTTTGTATAAAGATTTTTCTTGTGACGTCATAGCCTCTTCTGTTTTAACCTTGGCAAGCAAATTCCTTTATAGAAAGAAACCTAACTCGCTTATTTAACTTAACGTTATTGTTATTCTTGTAGGATATAATTTATTATAACTCAGAAAATTATTGATGACACATGAATGAATAGTGTTGTTTCAAAAGACATGTAAGCAAATATGGCATTTGTTATTTCCAATTCAAACGACAACTGATGGGACACGAGTTAAACGGCAAGTCGGAGTCACCCATGGTTCAATTATATCGTCACTAACTTAAAACTGCTGACCAGTCAGCAACGTCAGCCACCACAGAATAACGAGGTTGACTCACTTTTATATTACGAACGTCACTAACTTAGAAATGCTGACCAGTCAGCAACGCCAACCGCCACATAATAACGAGGTTGACTGTCACTTTTATATTAGGCGCCCAAGACAGAAAGAATGGAGTTTTTTCTACAGATTTACAACGCTAAAATTCAGGGTTGGATTCTCCGCGGCGGACACAGCAGATAGCCCAATGTGGCTATGCTCTAAAACAAACAAGTGCTCTACAGCTTTGGACCTTGCAATCCGCATCCGGCTATAAAACCTACTAACAGTAGGCCCTGAGATAGTTTCAAATCTTTCATAAAACGAAGTTATATTGTATGTTTATAAAAACGTACCTCACATATACAGTCGAAACATTCTCTAGTCACATAGTTTTGACCTGTGAAAAAAAAAGATATAATAAAGAATTAAAGACAAAAACATTAGCTTTGATAAAATATGCTGATTTACGTGATAAATATATAGGTTACAGCCTGCCCCTGTTTGATTTGTTGTTAATCGCAAAGCTACATAAGAAGCTATCTGCGCTGTACCTACCCGTTTTTAGCGTTGAGCCCTCGGGTTTGCCGCTAGGAGGCCGATTATTCGCTTTTTACAATTATGTCTTTTTTTTTTTCAAGGAATGTAGGAGTTGACGACTATGCCGGTTAGTTTTTTACAAAAATATAAATATCTTAAGACAATTGTTCGTTAAACAGTATGGAACTGTACTCTTGAACCAGTCGTTTGTTAAAACTCCAACTGTGTTTCAGTAATCCTTTAGTTACGAAAATAACCGCTTGCTAATTACTAACGGATGGAGAGTGTGTGTTTTCTTATAGCAAGGCCACATCGGACTACCTGCTGTATCCACCGACGGGAATCGAACCCCTGATTTTAGCGTTGTAAGTCCGACGACTTACCGCTGTCCCACCAGGGGATTCTAATGAATGGACAAGCCAAGTTTAACGAGTAATAGTTTATGTTTCAATGCGATACAAATAATTTCATATGAACGGGAGAGAAAAATAAATACATATGAATATTTCTAGTTCATAATTAAAAACAATATCATAAAATACTAACAGAAAAATTATATGTACTTATAATTAGGTTGATTTAAAATAGATAATTGATATTCATTTAGGCTTCAAAGATTCGAATGATGGTTTAAGCAGTTTTAAGATATAAAATAATTTCTTGGTGTTGGATATAGCATGGTTGACATATTGTTATAAAATGTCAACCATAAATCTCAGAATGTCTAGGATTTTGAAAACAACAAAAGACCGAACCTTTAGACAAATGAGACGATCAGCATTCAAATCCTGCATAAGAAAAATGTTTAAATTTATCAACTTTACGTCCATTAAGTATTTGGATGTATTTACAGAATTTAATGGTTAATTGAAACAGACGCAACGGAGGTCTTAGGATGATTACTCATGCAGTTTCCTCCCGTTGACGCGGTGGTGCTTGACTCGCTCTGGGAACAAGATGAGTTAGCCAGTTCAATTATAGTCAAGTTGATTCAATAAATATTATTAGTAATAAATAAGTTGTGTTGGAAATAAATACATATTGCTCTTTTTTTAAATTATTTACCTTATTTGAATTTGTAATTAAAACATAACGTAATTACAATTTACTTAGTTAATCGAAGTTCACACCATAACAAATGTTCATGAATATTGATGACATAAATATTGACTCAACTACAGAATCCTGGTATTAAACGAAAGGTCTCTTCGGCACTGGGTTAAGACAGACAACTTCTTTCATTTATGAGTTCTTAGAATGGCGGAGGCTAGAGTGTAAAACTCTGAACAAAAGTGGTGTTAATAACCATTAATATTTGGCATAGGTGGCGTAATTACACAACAATAAAGTATCTAGCATGGTTTCATCGGTGTACAATGTATATTGTGTTTACAATAACTTTCTCCTCGAACTACAACCACATAGTGGTGTATTATTAAAGGTTACCTTATGGTGATAATTACTTGCTACTGCTAGCCAGTAAAGTAAACTGTTCGCCAACTCACGTATTACAGTTGTAAGAACAAACTAACATAAACACCTCAGGCTCGCGTTTATCAAATTAAGTTACTTTTCATAATTAATAGTTAACTCTATATCTGTATTGTAACATTATGGTTAGGGTCACGAGTTCGAATCTCCTCACCATAACGTGCTCGCCTTTTCAGCCGTGAGGAGAGCTATAATGTGACGATCAATTCCACTTTTTGTCGATAAAGAGTAACGCAAGTGTTGGCTAGCTGCCATCCCCTTTAGACTAGCACTTCCAAATTATGGGCGGCTAGCGCAGATAGCTCTCGAGTAGCTTTGCGCGAAATTGTACGAAATAAAGAAAAAGTATTATAATTCTAAACGGTTTTGGTATGTACTTAAGTATTTATAGGATAACACACTTTGTTACTCACCAGTTACAGTAACTGCCACTAGAAGAACTTCATAAATTAAAACTTTCAACATTTTCAAAACTCTTTCTATTTCTCTCACAAAGAAGAGTGAAGTCTTTACTTTATAAACCTTTCGTTACTGTGGGATTCTGGGAATACAAGTAGGCGTGATGTTAATAACCTTCTCGCATCGTATTTGCTACCTCAAGACACGCCCATAATAAAAAAAACAAAACAGCTAAGGTGTTCGGATGACGCCTAGAAATAAGGGATTGTGATTAGTAGCAAGAATCCAGAAAGTTTGTATTTTTTACCTACTGGCATAACGCGCATCACCAAAACAGCTGGTTGACGTTGTGTTATGTTTCTGTTCAATAACCCGAGCTTTATCAACTAGTAAGTAATCTCTACTACAGAGGCCATAACATCAAGATTCGACTGACGTTCAAGTTGCTCAAAGGATAAATACTTGAGTGTAAGGAAAAGGAACGAATGACCTTTTTCTATTTTATCTTACCAAACAAGGTCATGATAATCGTAATTCTGCACCAGCGCTGTGATTTTAAAACGTTCTTTATCTACAGTAAATATTTGAGCAGTGGCATATGTATGCTCCCGCAATTGTGAGGCAGGCGAGCCAAAAGGGGGGGGGGCGAATGGCCTGACAAGCTTAAAAATTTATGATAAAAGGAATAAATGTAGGGGACCCAATTACTTTTTGTGGGTAGAAGGGCCATCGTTTACGTCACTGTATTTGAGATCAGCCTCTACATACAAAAATCATTTAAATATTATCAATAAAACCTAATAATGTTAAACTAAAGAACTGTAGATTATTGTAAATCTTAGTGTTTAAAGAAACTTATAATACCATTACGATTCTTTCAGGATGGCCACACATAACAATAGCTACGTGTGTGTGTGTGTGTGTAGTAAACGCACTACCCCCCTCTATATATCTAATCCTGAATGTGATAGTAAGCATACAATGTTATAGATCTGACCTATAATCCGTAACAACAACAATAATTATTTTTCTTTGTGTATGTTGGAAGAAAATCTTCAAAACCTTTCCTTCTTCATGTTGTCTATCAATATATTAACACATAGTTCCTTAGACCAAGACATGGTAACCACATGATTCACGCTGTAGATCGTAAAGTCTAGTGCTGTGGGTGCGTTATTAAGGTGACAGTCAATCACATTATATGGTCCGAAGAGTCGAACACAGCCCTTGTGGTGGCAGGTGCTGCTTATTGGCTGCCGTCCCTCTGGTGAATAGTCCAAATTTGGAGACGGTTATACTTGAGCCCTTGGGGTCTGTGACCTGGTCATTTAGCCATGATCGTATATGGTGCTTTTCAGACTGAAAAAAACAACAAAAAACAATACTCTGACCACTTGGTCACACAACCCTCTCTTATAGTTCTAGCAAGTCGTTCACCTACACCAGTGATTCTGAACGTGGGGCGCATGCCCCACAGGGGGGGCAATTTGAAAATGCTACAATAAAAATTTGTTTTTTCATTTGGATATGAAATTTTGGTAAATTTCTAAATTTTACATTATATTATTATTATTATACTTTTTCAACACCAAATTTGTTTCTATATTAAGGGAGTATCAAATTTTTTGAGGTGTCGAGGTGGGGCAGGGAGCAAAGAAGGTTAAGAACCATTGACATACACAATCATTTCTCTGTCTACGAGCCTATACATCATGTTTATCTGAGGATCCAAACTACACTGGACTGTTTGTTCTTGCTGTCGCCTCACTGGAGGGTTTTGTTCAAACATGAAGAAAACATCTGCTAACTTGAAATAAAATAAAAACAAAATCGTTTTTTTTTGTGTGTGTGTTTTTTTGCGGGGGGGGGGGAGTGAAATCACAATTAATAAATAATTTGAAATTCAAAAAAATGTTGCAACTTAGATTCAAATAATTCATCAAATAACGTTCTAACAACAAAGCTTGCTAAGTGGTAATATATCAAAAACACATAACATCCAGCAGGTAAAAAAATAGTCTTAAATTTTATTTCAGACTCTCATTTCATTGGGCATTTGAATTTACAACAGCCTAGATCCTGCTGTTTTAAGCTATCAAAACGATGTCCATCATTTGACCAAAACGGAGGAAGCTGAAGGTTAGATTTTCAGGACATCTAAAAACTAGGTTACAGAGGGGGATTGTCGAATCAGCGTGAAGCCTCGTCAGTTCCATTATTTAACTGTTATCCAACCGAAACAAAGTCAGCTCAAGGACGTTTATAAACTAGGTCACGAGCGTACGATGGAAACAGAATTTGTAGAGACTGACAGTTTCTAAAATGCCATTTTGACATTTCCGAGCTCAAGTTGGATAAATACATTCCTTTCTTTGCGAGTTTCTAGCGATTAACCTTAAGAAAGATATATGTATATATATATATAAAGGAAAATTATAAATTATTTGATAACAAAATCCGCCACAATTAAGAATAGAAGACAGGATGGAAAAAGTTTAAACTACGTAAAGCCATCCAACAAGAAGACTAATGTAGGAAAATGGATCAGGAGAATGAAGGCTTAAGAGAAGCCATCAAAAAGCCTTAGAATAATAATATTCATACAAGCATACAATAGCAGTAACTTAGTATTGTGTTTGTTTTTTAAAGCAAAGCCACTTTAGGCTATCTGCTGTGCCAATAGCAAGGAATCGAACCCAGGATTTAAGCGTTGTAAGTATGTATTCTTACCGCTGTCCAACCGAGGGACAGGTAATTTTGGTGAATGGCTATTAAAACACTGAAATGAAAAAAATTCAAGTCACCCACTAGTGGTTCAGCAGTAAGTCTGCATGCTGACGACGCTAAAAATCGGGTTTCGATACCCATAGTTGGCAGAGCACAGACAACTCATTGTGTACCTTTGCGCTTAACAACTACTATCCCAAAGAAATATGAAAAATAATATATTCACAAATTAGTTTTTCCTACACAAATCATAGCTGGAAATAGAAGGATTAACCTATTTCATTTCAAGGAGAGAGAGAGAATACTCTACTCACCTGTTTATATCTAAAACACGTGCACAGGGATCAGGTATTGTATAAACTCCAATTTAATATGGTTCCACTTCAAGATCAGTAAAACGTTTGAATGATTTTTTTTTTTTTACTAAACTGTTTTTTATTCATCAAATCTAGAATAGTCTGGCAAGAAAAAAAAGAAAGGATTCTATTTTAGTTGGTCTAAAATCAGTAAAACTTTTTACGATGATTAGAAAAGTATTTTCTGACAGGTGGCTCGCTCTAAACTCGAGTGCAAATAACAATGGAGTAAATATGATCAGCTAAGCCTATTTCTTAGTGGGCTGGCACCTTTCGTTCTTGTAGCGATTAAAGAAAAAAAGTAGAAATAAAACTTCCACAAAATGCTTCACGAAGTCTTAATGTAAACTCCCAATTCTGCCAAAAAAGTAAAAATATGTTATGCTCTCCTTAACTTTGGGTGAACGTTTTTTAATAGGAAAAACTGTTGTTTTCAGACTAAATTACTTTATCTGTGAAGTACGGTTGTGGCAAGGTAGGTCGCAACATGCTTGTTTGAAGTGAACTTTACAGGTTGTTGTGATTCAAACAAGGCGTCAAATTGTTCAGCTATGCGAGAAGAAGGTTCGTCCAGTCTTCCATATAGAGTATGAAGGTCGTCCAGTCTCTTCTATGTAATGTGATAAGGTCGTTTAGTCTCTTCTATATAGTGTGATTAGGTCTTCCAGTCTCTTCCATATAGTGTGATAAGGTCTTCCAGTCTCTTCTACATAATGTGATAAGGTTTAGTCTCTTCTATATAGTGTGATAAGGTCGTCCAGTCTATTCTATATAGTATGATAAGGTTGTCCAGTCTCTTCTATATAATGTGATAAGGTCTAGTCTCTTCTATATAGTGTGATAAGGTTGTCCTGTCTCTTCTATATAGTGTGATAAGGTCTAGTCTCTTCTATATAATGTGATAAGGTCTTCCAGTCTCTTCTATATAGTGTGATAAGCTCTTCCAGTCTCTTCTATATAATGTGATAAGGTCTAGTCTCTTCTATATAGTGTGATAAGGTCGTCCAGTCTCTTCCATATAGTGTGATAAGGTCGTTTAGTCTCTTCTATATAATGTGATAAAGTCGTCCAGTCTCTTCTATATAATGTGATGAGGTTGTCCTGTCTCTTCTATATAGTGTGATAAGGTCGTCCAATCTCTTCTATATAGTGTGATAAGGTCGTCCAATCTCTTCTATATAATGTGATGAGGTTGTCCTGTCTCTTCTATATAGTGTGATAAGGTCGTCCAATCTCTTCTATATAGTGTGATAAGGTCGTCCAATCTCTTCTATATAGTGTGATAAGGTCGACCAGTCTCTTCTATATAATGTGATAAGGTTGTCCAGTCTCTTCTATATAATGTGATGAGGTTGTCCAGTCTCTTCTATATAGTGTGATAAGGTTGTCCAGTTTCTTCTATATAGTGTGATATGGTCGTCCAGTCTCTTCTATATAATGTGATAAGGTCGTCCAGTCTCTTCTGTATAATGTGATAAGGTTGTCCAGTCTCTTCTATATAGTGTGATAAGGTCGTCCAGTCTCTTCCATATAGTGTGAAAGCATTGCCTAGACTCTTTTTTTTATAGTGTGGAAGCGTCATCCAGTATCTTCTATAGGTTGTGATGAGGTCGCCCAGTCTTTCATACATACTGTGAAAACTTTGTCCAGTATCTCCTGTAGAATGACATTTCTAGGATATTTTATTGGGAAGGGGGAGCATAATGGAAACAAAACGTTAGTTTGGGTGAGAGGGGGGCAAAAAGAAATATACTTTCATATAAGTGGAAGTTACAATGTAGAGGATTTTAAAACCTTAAACGACAATATCTCCGATAGGGATGCAGAACTCTCCAATGGGGATCTGCTCCCCTCATATCACCCTAGTGGACATCCCCCTGCTCCTGTATGGTGTATATAGGTACCCATTCTCTCCTACATAATATGAAGAGGTTTCTCATATATATAATGTGAAGGAGTCGTCCAATATTCCTCTCCCCCTGTATAGTGTGAAGGGACGACCTGATCTTTCCTACATAATATGAAGAAGTCGTCCAGTTGTTTT